ATTTCTAAGCTACAGATCTTGCATAAGTGCTTAGACTCTATTAGAAGTTGGATAGAAGACACACTCTAAAAACGATTGTTTAAGCTCAACAAAAAAAAACGCAACAGTTTCCATTACTCTTTTTGAGTTACAATAACTTACATTGAAATTAGATTGAACCAACAAACTATATTGAGTTAGGGGCATTAACTTTTCCTCCATAATCAAAGGTGATCTTAATTACCACTTACGTAATAATTGGTATCTCAAAAACACATTTTTAAGTTGTTTACTCATAAAAAATATGTTCCTCCAATTACTTTTTTCACATGATTTAAAATGATTGTAATTAATTACAGCAATTACAAAAACATTTTTTAAAGTTCATTATTTAAAATATTAAGTTGCTGATTTTCATCATTATTATCATCATTTTAGCTTTTTAAATCTTTTTTTCTCTCTTTTTTCTTTTTTTTTATTGTAATAGCTTTTAAGAAAGGAATTCATTCAACATTTTTTTATCAAATAACTTTTTTTTATCTTTTAACTGCAGGCATTTCAACACTTTGTATTTAAAAAGTGAAAATAAACCAGAAATTCAGATTTATGCCATCACAGCCAAGTTATACAATATGCCTTTATGTATTTAAGACCACAGAAACAAATGTGTTCAATTGGTAAAAAATGTACTTAGAAAACATTTTGTTACAGTAATACTTCCACGCAAGTGTTCAGTAAATGTTAACTTTCAATGCCTACAAACTTTACAAGATCTGGCATCTTTCTTTTACACAATGCAGCAAACACCTTTAAGATCAATGTTACACATACAGGATTCAAAACAGTTAACAATGTTTGAAACAGAGTCAGCATCTTTAACATAATGATGGTTCCATCAAGGTCAAGGAACAGCTTCTGAACAACTTCAAAAGTATATTTCAGATCCTTGCATTAGCTCAGACTGACAGCATATATTATGAGTAACACAGCACCTTGGGATTTTTGTTCCTCCACCACAATGGTTGCAGTCTTATGGTCAGATCCAGGGGTGTACCGGTCACTGATGATGGCAGTTTTCATCACCTGCCTCTCAAGGTTGGCCTTAAATTCTTCGGTGTCCTTGTAAAGCAAATTTTAAAAATAGG